GAAGACTAAATAATGAAGAAGAAGGCAAAAAAAGAAGGAGTAGAAGACTAAATAACGAAGAAGAAGGCGAAAAGAAGGAGTAGAAGACTAAATAACGGAAGAAGAAGGCAAAAAGAAGGAGTAGGAAGACCAAATAACGAAGGAAGAAGGCAAAAAAAGAAGGAGTAGAAGACTAAATAACGGAAGAAGAAGGCAAAAGAAGGGAGAAAGTGTAGAAGACTAAATAACGAAGAAGAAAGCAAAAAGAAGGAGTAGAAGACTAAATAACGAAGAAGAAGGCAAAAAAAGAAGGAGTAGAAGACTAAACAACGAAGAAGAAGGCAAAAAAGAAGGAGTAGAAGACTGAAAAGTAACGGAAGAAGAAGGCAAAAAGAAGGAGTAGAAGACTAAATAACGAACAAGGTAAAAGGCAGAAGAAGACTAAATAACGAAGAAGAAGGCAAAAAAGAAGGAGTAGAAGACTAAATAACGAAGTAGAAGGCAAAAAGAAGGAGCGAAGACTAATTAAATCGAAGAAGAAGGCAAAAAGAAGGAGTAGAAGACTAAATAACGAAGAAGAAGGCAAAAAAGAAGGAGTAGAAGACTAAATAACGAAGAAGAATCCAAAAAAGAAGGAGTAGAAGACCAAACAACGAAGAAGAAGGCAAAAGAAGGAGTAGAAGACTCAACAACGAAGAAGAAGGCAAAAAAAGAAGGAGTAGAAGACTAAATAACGAAGAAGAAGGCAAAAAAAGAAGGAGTAGGAAGACTAAATAACGAAGAAGAAGGCGTTAAAAAGAAGAGTAGAAGACTAAATAACGAAGTATTAGGCAAAAAGAAGGAGTAGAAGACTAAATAACGAAGAGGCTTTAAGGCAAAAAAAAGGAGTAGAAGACTAAATAACCCGAAACCGAAGATTAGGCTAAACAAGAAAGTTAGTCCAGAAGACCACTCAATCACGAACACGAGTCAACGGCTTAAATAGACGGAACAGAAGACTAAATAACGAAGAAGAAGGCAAAAAGATAGCGTAGATCACTAAACCACTCACAACGCGCGCCCACAAAGAACAGAGAAGAATCAATGAACGCGGAAGAAGCCTGAAGAAGGAGGAGTTGAAGAGCTCAAATAATCGAAGAAAGAAGGCAAAAAAGAAGGAGTAGAAGACTAAATAACGAAGAAGAAGGCGTAAAAAAGAAGGAGTAGAAGACTAAAGGCTAACGAAGAAGAAGGCAAAAAGAAGGAGTAGAAGACTAAATAACGAAGAATACAGGCAAAAAAGAAGGAGTAGAAGACCAAATAAACGAAGAAGAAGGCAAAAAAGAAGGAGAGAAGACTAAATAAACGAACAAGAAGGCAAAAAGAAGGAGTAGAAGACTAAATAACGAAGAAGAAGGAAAAAATACTGAGCACACAAAATGAAGAAAATCAAATGAATACTGGCAAAAAGAATGAGAAGGACCAAATGAACGAAGAAGAAGGCAAAAGAAGGAGCAGAAGACTAAATAACGAAGAAGAAGGCAAAAAAGAAAGAGTGAAGACTAAATAACGAAAGCAGAAGGCAAAAAAGAAGGAGTAGAAGACTAAATAATAGCAAAGAAGAAGGCAAAAAGAAGGAGTAGAAGACTAAATAACGAAGAAGAAGGCAAAAAGAAGGAGTAGAAGACTAAATAACGAAGAAGAAGGCAAACAAAGAAGGAGTAGGAAGATCAACAATGTAGTAGAAGAAGGCAAAAAAGAAGGAGTAGAAGACTAAATAACGAAGAAGAAGGCAAAAAAGAAGGAGTAGAAGACTCTATTAACGTAAGAATAAGGCAAAAAGAAGGAGTAGAAGACTCAAATAACGAAGAAGAAGGCAAAAAAGAAGGAGTAGGAGACTAAATAACGAAGAAGAAGGCAAAAAAGAAGGAGTAGAAGACTAAATAACGAAGAAGAAGAAGGCACACCAAACAAAGGAGAAGATACCCAAATAACGAAGAAGAAGGCAAAAAAGTAGGAGTAGAAGACTAAATAACGAAGAAGAAGGCAAAAAAGAAGGAGTAGAAGACTAAATAACGAAGAAGAAGGAACAAAAAGAAGGAGAATAGAAGAATAAATAACGAAGACCGAAGAAGCAAAAAAAGAAGGAGTAGAAGACTAAATAACGAAGAAGAAGGCAAAAAAGAAGGAGTAGAAGACTAAATAACGAAGAAGAAGGCAAAGAAAGAAGGAGTAGAAGACCTAAACAACGAAGAAGAAGGCAAAAAAGAAGGAGTAGAAGACCCAATAACGAAGAAGAGAAAAGGCAAAAAAGAAGGAGTAGAAGACTCAAATAACGAAGAAGAAGGCACAAAAGAAGAGAGTAGAAGACCTAAATAACGGAAGAAGAAGGCCGCAAAAGAAGGGAGGAAGACTCACAACAACGAAGAAGGGAGGCAAAAAAGAAGGAGTAGAAGACTAAATAACGAAGAAGAAGGCTAAAAAAGAAGGAGTAGAAGATTAAACAACAAGAAGAAGGGCAAAAAAGAAGGAGTAGAAGACTAAATAACGAAGAAGAAGGCAAAAAAAGAAGAGTAGAAGACTAAATAACGAAGAAGAAGGCAAAAAAGAAGGAGTAGAACACTAAATAACGAAGAAGAAGGCAAAAAAGAAGGAGGTAGAAGATTAAATAACTGAAGAAGAGCAAAAAGAAGGAGTAGAAGACTAAATAATGAAGAAGAAGCCAAAGTAGAAGACTAAATAACGAAGAAGAAGGCAAAAAAGAAGGAGTAGAAGACTAAATAACGAAGAAGAAGTCGGCAAAAAAAAGAAGGAGAGAAGACCAAATAACAAAGAAGAAGGCAAAGCAAAAGAAAGAGTAGAAGACCAAAACTAACGAAGAAAGGCAAAAAAGAAAGGACTAGAAGACTAAATAACCGAAGAAGAAGGCAAAAAGAAGGAGTATTAGAAGATCAAATAACGAAGAAGAAGGCAAAAAAGAAGGAGAAGAAGACCAAATAACGAAGAAGAAGGCAAAAAAGAAGGAGTAGAAGACTAAATAACGAACGAAGAAGAAGGCTAAAAAAGAAGGAGTAGAAGACTAAATAACGTAGTACAATCTAAGAAATAAAGGCAAAAAGAAGAAGGCAAAAAGAAGGAGTAGACGACTAAGTAACAAAAAGAATGAAGGCAAAAAGGGAAGGAGTAGAAGACTAAATAACGAAGAAGAAGGCAAAAAAGAAGGAGTAGAAGACTAAATAACGAAGAAGAAGGCAAAAGAAAGAGTAGAAGACTAAATAACCAAAGAAGAAGGCAAAAATGAAGGAGGGGTAGAAGACTCGATACCTCAAATAACGAAGAAGAAGGCAAAAAAGAAGGAGTAGAAGACTAAATAACGAAGAAGAAGGCAAAAAAGAAGGAGTAGAAGACCTTCTAAATAACGAAGAAGAAGTCACTAAAAAGAAGAAGCAGAAGAACTAAATAATCCCGAAGTTATTAAAGACAGGCAAAAAGAAGGAGAGAAGAAGCCCAAGAACTAGAAGACGAAGGCAAAAAAGAAAGAGTCAGAAGACTAAGTAACGAAGAACAGTTGAAGCCAAAAAGAAGGATATGATCACTAAATGAACCAGAAGGCATAAAAGAAGGAGTAGAAGACTAAATAACGAAGACTGAAGGCAAAAATAACGAAGAAGAAGCACGCAAAAAGAATAGTATAGGTAAGACTAAATAACGAAGAAGAAGACAAAAAAGAAGGAGTAGAAGACTAAATAACGAAGAAGAAGGCAAAAAAGAAGGAGTAGAAGACCAAATAAAAATGAAGCTAGCATGGGAAGGTAAAAAAAAAGAAAAAGAGAGGAAAAGACTAAATAACGAGAAAGAAGAAGGCAAAAAGATGGAGTAGAAGACTAAATAACTGAAGAAGAATAAGCAAAAAGAAGGAGTAGAAGACTAAATAACGACATATGAAGGCAAAAAAAGAAGGAGTAAGCAATA